CAGCAGTGTGCTTATTGGTACCAGTCCTGGCACCAAAACACACCAGAACTGAAAGTGTACATAGCACCTGTGCAAGGGGGAAATCCCCCTGTATCCTGACCAGCTAAAAGCATTAAAACTGCTATTGGTAAAAAAGATGTAAAAAGATATAAAAACATATAGATGGCTCCCCACACAGGTGGTTGCAATGGTGAACTGGGAAGCAGGGCATCCTGGTTCTGAATTTCTATTTCTTTTTTTTTTGTATTTTTTCCCAGGCACAACTTCAATGTGTAGGTATTGGAGGACTCATCAGATTCATCTGAGTACAAACATGTATAAAAATCACTAACCTTCAATGAGGAGACAATTGCATTTATATATTTAACCTGTTTAGAAAGAAGTGCATGATGTATTTTTTTTAAATGTTGTTTTTTTAACAAATAGGTGGTATATATCTTTTCTTCTTTTCTTGCTGATTGGTAAACACAATCTTCCAAAAGCAAAGGTTAATTTAAGTTCCGGGTTTACAATTTCAAGTTTGATTTTCTTTGGCAATTCAATCTGCATGACGATTTTGATCAAATGCCTCAGCTTATAACATTTGTAACACATGATAAAATCCACCCCAAAAAAGCTCATATTTAAATAATCATGTAATAAGTTGAAGGCACACTGTGACAGAACATGAATTATCTAACAGGCTGCAGACTAACACCAGTTTAGTCTGGAAGACAGATACAAGCACTGAGTGCAGTTTTAGCATTGAAGATAAGAGTGTAATCCTTTGCCTGCTTCTATTTAAAATCAATGAAAAAGGGTAAAAAGATAAATTGTTCAGAGCTTGATATAAGGCATGTGGCTGAAAACGCATTCGCTAATTGTTTAAAATTTGCACCATTGAAGGAAAATGATTTAAAACAGAGGTTCACAATCAGGTGCACACTACCATTGGTAACTCTTCTACTCGCTCTAGGCCTTTGTAGTGCTGTGGGTTCAATGTCTTTATTTAGTCTTTGACTGCATGAAGGGAGATAGTGAATAATATTAATCATTGAACCTTCCCTCACCTTTCCCTTGTGAGGTGATCGTGACTAATGAAAATCTGAGCTATGCTGGTAAACTGATATTGGCGAAAGAGTCGCTTTTTCTTTGCCTGATTGGATAAATATGCAGCTGGTTTTGGAATCAATTCTTCTGTGAGTGAAATTAAAAGGTGTTACTTTAAAATGCTCCTGTATATATGCAACAGAATTTAGTCACCAGAAATGTCATGGCCAATAAATACAAAAGATGCAAGACTGTAAGCAGTAAATGTAGAAAATCAAGTGAATGCTCCTGCTTAATATTTTGGCTTCATCCATTTTTTAAAAGCTCCGGTGGTGGTTCTGTGTGTAAATGTTTCTACCTTTTGATACAGATTCCTTTTATCACAAAGCACTACGTTCAGTTTAAGACTGGTCCAAAACAACTGTAGTTGCTGGTTAAATTTCTTGCCAGGCTTGAAGCTTTTAATTATGTTCTTATGTTCATTTTTAAAGGAAATAGTTTAATTTCTATAAAACGGAAAAATCAAATATAGCTGTGTATTTTCTCCTGTTCCAGGAATTCTAAAAGGGTTTCAGGACCAGACTGTTCTGTTCTTAACTCATTCCCTGTGCTTTGATCTATGTATGCATGCTGGTGAGAAAACCATTGTGGGTGCCTGGCAGGGAGGCCCCCAGCACTTCTCCGCACACACAGCGCCTGCAGCATCCACGGTTCTGGGGGAGGGCTGAGAAGTAGCACAAGGCACAGTTGCATCTATTGTACCTCTTTTTCTGAGGGCAACAAACCTTCCTGTACCAACCAGACCCTGCTGACCGCTACCCCTATGCAGCACAAACCCCGAATGCAAGAAGATAACAGCTGTTATCACAGTGCTTTTTATCTGGGAGGCAAAGTCTAAAATTGCATCTGACCTCTGTGTGCACAGAGACGCCAAGTGATGAGAGCTCTGCCTAGATCCTCAGAGGTTTTAGATTAGATCAGTAAGAGTGAGGTACCTAAATGAATAGTTCTGGGGATAATAGCTTCTGTGTCTTCTACCCATGTGTGGTACAAAGTAGACTCCAAACTGCAATTTATCAAATGATATATTGTGGGCCTTAGAAAACACAACAGGACTTTTGTGTTGGGTTTTTTTTTCCCTAATGGGTTTACTAATATATAAAATTACAACACTCCATTTACTTATAGAATCATACAAGTAATTAAACTAGCTATAGTATAGATTTAACTTATTTATCTACAAGTCAAGCTTCTGATTGCCCTAGGTCAATGGTTTTTATCAACAAAACTCCGTAATAATAGATTTTCTTAATAATGCCAATAGGGTATGTATAACAAAAAATATACAAACACATCTGTCTGTTAAGGGTGTGTGTATGTATCAGTCTTTGCATAAATACATTTCTATACAGCACAGGCTCAGGGAAAAACAGATCAAACAAACATGTTATGTGTCTAGAGAAATAATAATTTTGAGCTTGGCTAAGGCAACAGAATGAGTTCTTATTTTTCTTGAATATTGGGGTCTGCTTGCTTGCCCAGTCATTTGTTTAGATTTCAGTGGAAAAATAGTAATACATACTAGAAAATTAAATTAATTGGAATTCTGTTCCTCCATGATAAGACTTGAAATGAGATTTAAATCAGCGTGCGCTTGGTAAAACGTGGCAATTTGATGTCTGTTCCATAAAACTGACAACCGCATCTAGTTGTTTTTCTTCTGAATTTGATCAGATAATTTGGTCAAAACTTGGAGAATATCTAAAAGTTACACAATCAGACAGATTTGTTCAGAAAATTACAACATAGTGAGGGAAACTCAATTAGTTTTGTCAGCAAATATAAAGGTACTAGCTTGAACTTCCAGAAACTGTCCAAAGCTTTTACAAATACTCTTGATTTAGCTAAATCAAGCTAATTATATGTTGGGCTCAAAAAATCCTCATTAAAACAACATTAATGTCCAAATGTCATAATGTCCAAACCTGAAAAGATAGGAAATACTGCAATTAGTAAGCAATTGCTCTGACAAACTGGTGTGTACATATATATATATATTTTTAATCATATGACTGTAAAATTTGCTCCACAACCTTCCAGATGTGTTCAATACCTCAGTTACTTAATATCTTTTTTAGACCCACTGTATGGACATGGTGTTTACTTTATTCAAATTCTACTGCAGAGAACCATATTGATTTCTTTTTTCATTTTTTTCCCCTATAGTTCCTGTCACTGCAATATTTCAATGCTACACAAACTAATGTTTTCTTTGCCAGTACCAAAGGTAAGGTACAGGGTGGTGACAACCTTCTTCTGCATAAGGGGTGCAAGGCAGAGGGAGACCCTATGACTTCTGTGTGCTTTGTTTGGGAGATACCTAGGATCTGATTTGGCAAAAAATTAATAATAGAGAACTTTGAGACTTGAAACACTACTTCACCTGCTCTCTGCTGCATCTCTAAGTGCCCAATAATTTTGTGAATCAAAACTCAAGTACAGGCATCTGCAAAATGAGAATACAATTAACAACCATGTGTGAAAAGTATGGTTGAAATGACCTGCCAAACATAAAGAGGAGGTTTCTGGCAGAAGCTGAAGAAGTAAAATTTTCTCAGGTAGCACTGAATAGTGTTGCCCACACAAATGTCCTTTTTCTTCATATACTCTCTTTAATGCTAATCGGTTAATTATCACAATCTTTCCTGAAACTATTTATGGTTTTCTTTCCAGATATATTTGTTGTCACAAGTCCAGCTTTTCTACTTCAGAGGCACTCATCACTTGGAGAGGCAACGGTAATCTCTAGCTTTACTCTTTGTTTGTTTCTTTTTAATTTATGATATAAGATTTGTATTTGTTTTAGAGTGTTTAGAGCATTTGTATGGCTACTGACCAATTTTATAATATTTGGCTAATTGGTGTCAGTAATTACAATTTCTGTGTTTCTCAGTCTTAAGAATCACAAGCAAGCTCTTGTAGAAATATGTCTTTAATGTGTGTGTGTAAGAATGGAGAAAGGCAATGAGAAAACGTGAAGGAAACACATAAGAGGACTCTCCAGAGCTTCTGGAAGTAGATGATCAAAACAGTTATAAAAAAAATGTTAAGAATTTACCACAAACAAAATTTGCAATAAAGGTCTAATCCTCTATATGTTGAAGTGGTATTTCCACTCATCTGTTTATAACACCTCTAAACCAAAAGAGAAGCTAAATATATAACTAAGCATTGAAACAACATCTGCCCAAGCACCACTCAAGAAAAATTTCAGCTCTTCTTTTTAAGGATGTTAAGTATACCTCCATTTTTTTCAACCTTTAGCTTTCATCTGGTTTTCACTAATTATTACAGGTAACGAGCCAGTGTTTTGCAGTTATTGTCCAGGGACAGTTTTAAGGTATGAAAGGTTAACTTACTCAAGAAGCTGAAGTTTAGGACAGAAAAAAAGTGAATGTGCAGAGAAATCACCTTTTATCTTTTAGGAAGAATTTTGAATTTGAAGTTAATATGCTGATGTTTTAGTATAAAAAACTTATTTCACAGTTGTCAAGACGTGTGTTTACATAGCTCAGTGGGAACTCCTTGAGGTGTTAGTGAGAGAGAGAGAAGACACTGAAAGTGCATTGAAATAAATGGATGGCACAGTCAGTGTCCTCAGCTGGGAGTTTCCCAAAAGGTTCAGGCATTATGGCATTCTTACAGCTCATAGAGCATTTTGCTCATTTTCTGCTCTTCAGTAGCTGCACATGATAGCACACAGACCCAGAGGCAGCAAAGTTGCATGAGAGGGGCGACTCTCAGAGTTACTTACGTTGACAGCCCAAGCTGTGCCAGATATATCCCGGCAGACATTTATCACATTTAGGCCCTGATGTTCCCTCCTTACACTCACAAAATCCTCTGTCATTACAGCGATCATGGACTGAACCAAAAGGGTTACAATAACAGTCTGCAGAAACAAGACAACACATACACACTGGATTCAGGTCTACATGTGGTGATAATTCATTCAATACCAATAAAGGGTGCATTTCCAGTGCTAAAGGTAAAGGAAGACTGTCTATTATGGATATCTAGAGTAGTGAATATAACTACTACATGTCCATTTATTTGTTTGCATATGTCATTTCAGGAAGAGACGTTTTATGATGTGAAGAGAAAAAGTAAACAGAAAAGATATAGAGGCAGAAGATACCATGGGTCTTTGAGGATAAGTGATTGTAACAGATTCTCTTCTGGCAAAAATATTTTTGACAATTTAATGAACATTAGAAAAGTTTTGTATAGTATGGATATATCAATGTGCCATCAAGGTGAAAAGATTCACATTATTAAAATAGGCTTATCTGTGTTACTCAATATTTTCAGAAGTGCTGAATGTCTTTACAGGACTATATAAATGCACTTTACTTATTTCCAAGATAGTCTTCCTTTATGGTTTTGAGCAGTATAATAATTTTTGTGGATATTTACCATTAAGTTGGTGAGATTGTATTTATCAGTGACGTTAATAAACCTGTTACGTATTCCACAATGGAAAGCTTGAGGTGAGCACTAATATACAGCAAAACTTATCAGAACTGGCTCTATGCTGCCATTTTAATTTCTCTCACCTCCCAGCGTGCAGATGGAAAATGCAGTGAGGCTCATTCCCTGCTGTATATTTTTCACATGTGTTCAGCTAATTAAAGAATAAGTAGGGAACCCATTTCCTCCCACAACACTTACTGTGTTGTTCATTCACAGCCCTTTTCTTCAATGTGATTACAATATCTGTGTTCAGCTTTCAGCTAGCTGAACGAAGGCAAGACAGTAGCTGGCAGAGCTCATTTTTGGCACTCCTGTTCTTCAGCTTGGTTATTTATATATTTTTTTCCTCCCAAATGAAGGGCTGTATATGTATGTAGACCCATGTAGACCCAGAGTAACTTCACTGTCAACTGAGACCACAGACACCTTTTGGCAGCATCTGATCTCTGCTGCTTCTTCAATCTGGGCAACCTGCTGGGAGTCTGGATTTATACGTCTGTGAATCGGTACTACTTTGATGACTACCTCTGGCAATTGTTCCCCAGCATTACGTTAAACCTCAATGATATCATAAATGACAAAAAGGAGTGGAACTCGGAAGTTACATATATATATATATATATATGTATGTATGTATCTATAATGGAAAAACTGTAACAGAAAAAATATTTCCAGAAAGACGTTTGTCATCTGTTGTCTCACTGTTTATTAACTGTAAATTACAGATGGCACTTTGAACATTTGGCATGCTGAAGAAGAATGCCAAACAGGGTTCCACAACAATAATAGAGTCAATTAGCTAGCAACATTCATTAATGAAGTTGAAAACTGACATGCCAAAAATACTGTGCAAGGCTGAGTATTATAGCACAGTGCGTGCCACTTGAAAAACTGGGAATTCTCATGTTAATCAGATGTATGAAATGCTTGTATAAACAGGCATAAAACTGAGATACACTTTGAATGCAGGAATTAAATTTTGCTTGAACAGTGTTTATAGAAAATCTTGAAAGACAAAAACTTGGAATTACATTAGAAACAGAGGGCCCAATTCTTGTTAAATTAGCTTTGTTAGATCTAATGTAGTTACAGTGATTTAAACAAGTATTTGTGAAAGAAATGTATAGCCTGTGATACTGAATGTTATAGATACATAATATTTTCCAGAGAGCAATACTCTGACCCTGAACGAGTGAAACCTTTCCTACTGAACTCTATCACATAAGCGTGTTGGTAGTACCAGGCCCAAACTGTGCTGTTTAATGGAAAGTAGATAGTAGAAAGACAGATTAAGCCAGGCTCTTTTACAAAATTACCAGATCAAATCAGAACACCAGACCCAGCAACCTTTAGTAACTGAATCTAGTCTTCATCTTTCCCAATACACAACTGATAACACAGTAATACGACCTACAGAGGTCCACAGAACATCCAGGATCATTGTCCAACGCAATATCACAGGCTGTGGAACACTTCCCAAGACCTTCCAAATACTTAAGACATTAAAAAACTCAAAGGTCACAATTTCAGTGTGCCCCTTACAGCAACAGGGCAACGCTCCCAGATCGTCCTAATAAGCAGACCACACACAGGTTCCAGGGTGGGGGAAAAAGCCCTGCAGATCTGAACTTGGAAGGAATTTTCCTCCTAACCTCCGTTTGGTGACTGTTTGAAAGGATGGAAAGATTAACAGAAGTAGTCATCTGTTTGCTGATATTCACTATATCAATGTGATGCTGCCAACAAAACACAATGAAAATAAGTAAAAAGAAGGTGGGCTGCAGGCTTGCTGCTTATCAGTCTGGGTTGACAGTGGCTAGAGGACAACCCTCGGGCGTCACTTAATCATTTATCATTAGGGCTTCTAAAAGTTTCACAGATGTTAATTGAAGTTTAAGCCTAACTGACTGCAAGGCTGGCTTTCCTAAAGGTGTGACAGCAATCACCATTTCAGTATTTATTTTGTAAGGCAAAGGCCATGTTTTATTACTCTGGGTCTACTTGGTGGTTTTCATGCTCTCCATGCTTGCCAGTGTGGGAATTCACTGAAATAGTTATTAGGGCTTTATCAAGAAATAAAAAACTTTTCAAGATGTTAAATTCTTTTTCATGTCAAATTAATGATTTTTAACTTCACAACACCTTGATTTATTCAGAAACTGCAGTTGCCCATGTGAGGTAATTTTTCCAGTTAACTTACAAATCCACAAATATTTGATATTTCATTTTAAGAAATAAAATTTATTTTGCTTCTAAAGAAATTAAGGGCATCGATAATTTAGATTTAAGCCCACTGTATAATGCATTGCATGTAGTTCACTGGTAAAAACCTTCTCAGTATTTGAATTCTTTAGTTTTAAAAATTAAACAATTTACATTTTCTCCATTTAGTTAGCATCAGCTAAGATTCACAGATTTGTTATCCATGTACTTACCATATATATTTATGAAAACTGTGTAAGCAGTTTTGATAAATCAGAGCCAAAGCCCTGTTAGCTGCCATTAAATTAGCTTATCCAAACATTTTTTTACCTTTCTACATATATGGCTGAAGAGGAAAGAATTAGCCTGGCAAAATGACTTTCATACGGGAAGATTTGCACATGTCACTGGAAATCTGCTTATTAAAATGTTCATGTCAACATTTCACTTGTACTTAAACCACAAAAAACTGATTTTAAACTCAGCAAAAAGAGAAATGAGCGTTTCCAATAGAGCAAGACTGTGCTTGACCTAGAAGGGTGGTGAATCCATCAACTCTCTCAGAGGTGAAAATACACTACATTTGCCAGGATTAAATCTCAGGAGCCCCAGTTCAAGAAAATATTTTAGGCACAAGCTTCTCTGTTTTCTGAAAAGTGCTTAGGTATCTTCCCCATTTTGCTGATTTTACACATGAAGTAGTATGAAAGACTTCTCAAGTTGGCAAATCAGCGAGGATACGTACATTAGGACACATACATTTTGTATGCAGTATGATCACTGTGACCATGAAAACTGTTTTAGTCCAACAAGAATGTTATTTATTTAAAATAATTACCTAATATGTAGCAAACCAGGGTTGGAGCCTACAGTCATTTCACGTGGTACAATTCTCATGGGAGCCCAAGGGAATTCTGCTTTCATTAAGGTGGAAAGTCAGCAAATGTTTCACATTGCCTTTTTTTCCCCTCAGACTCTTTTTAAATTAAAGGGTTTTAAATTTTATTTCTGCAGAGTCTAGGCAACTGCAAAGTGCATACTTGTTTTACTAAGACATTCTAAATATATCAATTGTAAATTAATGTAAAAATTACATATTTTTGACTTCTCATTTACTTACTTCCTTGTCTTATGTAGCTACAGCTGCTGCCTTAGCATTTCAGTGTACATGGGAAAACAATGTACTGAATGAGCAGATGAAAAATTCCAAACAGAGTAATTTAGTCATATTCATTAGGCCTATTTAAGCAGCTGAAATTATACAGCCCTGGTGTCATACCAGTGATGTCTGTCATCTACATCAAACAAATATGTGGGACAGTGTTTTTTTCCAAGAACATTTGATTGTGTTAATCTCCTCAGCACAGTCATACAAAATCATGACTTGCCTACTAAAGTTCTTATTAGCTCAGACTAATTACTGTCAAAGGAGATCATGCATTTTCTGAATGCGTTGCCAAGCAAAGTTAAAAGGACACATGAAATGTAGTGCGTGGATGGATCTGTGTGTTTAATCACAAAGTAAAATGGTAATCTGTCAAGTTACAAACTGAAACAAATAATAGAAACCTAAATAGTTTCTGGCTTGAATCTCAGCAATGGATTATAAAGAATATAAAAATATAATTTATTAATCCATAGTCTATTTTGGCATTAAAATATCTGCTAACTACTCTTTTTGCTTCCTGGAAAATGGAATGAAAAAATCACAATGATAATCCAAAAAAGGTCCTACTGATGCTTATAAGAAACATTAAATAATTAAATTCTCTACTTCTGTTTGTTATTAGAACAGTGTCTTTTGTGGCTACCTGTTAACTACTGACCATTGTAGAAGGCTTCCTTTATTGGCTATGTCCAGTCTTTACCTGAAGTGTCCTCACGTGTGCTATATATTGTCTGTGGTGACATGAGAATAATGCATATTCTTCTAGTGTGATAAAGATCTTAATGTTTTTACTAATATGCTTCTCTTATTATGTTCTGACATTTTCCCTAATTCTGCAATTTGAATATTTATAGCAGATGCTCATTCTAAAGCACTGTTTTTATCTCAGGATTCCTTTTCTAAATTGACATCATGTTGAACTGGTTTGACAAATTCTGTTCCTAACCTCAGGGATATAATTTCAGTTTCTCCTCTAAGTAGAGGGGAGGTAACACTGCATTTATAGCCCTGTGCCTGGGAGCAGAATTACCTGCAACATGTTTCTGTGAAATTTAGTGAATAAAACGGGTTAATAAATATCACTCCCCACATCCTCTTGCTGCAGCTGGCAACTTTTGTGGGTCTTCAGGCAAGTATTCAAGAGT